GTTTGCTCCAGACTCTCTATCACAACTTCTGTATTGCCCGCGTGATGCTGTCACTATATGCCAAGAATCTTTAACGGATAACGGATGCAAAAACTGGCAATCGTTTCATGTCTTCCGAGCTGTACAACAAGACCGTACAGACACAGGCACTGTGCACACTGTCCTTGAGCTTGAGGCTGACATCTCAACAACATCATAGGTGTCTAAGTCTGGTGCAAGTAAGCGCGCCTTACCAGAGATCGCATAGGACAGCTCTTCGGGGATAAGTTACATCCTATGGCCTACAACAAACTTAGGAAGGCAATTTAGTAGCTAATAACCTCAGTGAACAATGCTTGCTGCTGGAATATTGACCGCCAAACCGAAGTAAGCAGACATAAGTACCTAAGACCATGTCTAGAACAAAGGGGTTCAAGATGTGCAGTAACCGACTGTTCAGAATTAAGGCCTAAAGGTAGGTTCATTCATTGATAAGCAGGATACGGTACAAACAAGTAAACGAGGGTATGTGCACAGTCAGGACACAGGTTGTGTTTAGAAACCGGTTTAGTCATTTTTATTATTATACATGAGAACTAATTCTGGGTTTAGTGTAATAAGAATGTCATAGATTTATCGAATTTGAGGTTGCGCTGGTGTCATAATGGCTTGTGCAGTGATCGCAACCTACTACCCTAAACATAATCATAAACCGTACAAGTTTAAATGTACGATAAAGGTTTAGCAAGGAATGGGCTGGGACGGCATGTGACTGGAGGCGGCACTTTTAGTACCGTCAACTTTTCCATACCAAATATAAAGGGGAAAATTTAAAATAAGCTGAAGGCTGAATATCTTACTGTTACTCTATATGACCAGTAACAGTGCGCTCTGTGTTACACCTGCGTAAATCATCTTCCCAGCGATCCCCATAATTGTCCCTTTGTGGTCACTTGCACCACATTTACCTCAGTGTCCCAAACGCTCATCCGTTTGCTGTGCACTTTACTCTGAGCCGATTGTGTGGCCTTCACGCGCCTATTCTGTCCTCACTCATGACGAACATTTTACCACCGCCCCGGGGAGTCAAAAGCAATTGCTACGCTACTGATGCATGGAATGAGTGCTCGAATAAACAAATAGATAACGCTAGATGAATTTTTCTAATCAATACCCGACTGAGTTGGACTTTAGGAAAGTCGGATTATAGTGGGATAGAAATCTGGGTTATAGACCACGCTACCTGCAACAGATTTGCACAGGAAGGACAGAATTATGTGTTGGCCGCAGCCCATTGGCATTCATTTACGTACGATTCGAGACTATCATGTATACCGTCCCTGCACATGGTCTGCCTGAGAGTTCAGCAAAATATACCTGACAGATAAAGTATGTTGAACAATTTACAGGTCTAGAGGAAGTTGTTCTTCAGTCCTTTCCATCCATGGCTTATTGCTGGATCATCTAATCTGTTTACAGTGTGTAGTGTTGAGATATCTCTCTGAGAAGGTAAGTCATGGTCAGCGGTCACGAAAGCCCCTAGAAAAACGGTCGCGCTGATGTGTATTTTTGTATCTTTAGGGTTTGATTATGATATCTGAGTACTAGATCAAGCCTTATTCCAAGAATACGTAGCCAAGGATGATCGAAACGAATCCTAAGCAGCGACTCCAGGGTTGTCACCTATGAAGCATAAACTCATCCACACCATGTATAAAGCACTTGCAGGGTGGTAGTTTTTAACCTGTCATTTTTGAAGTTAGGTTTGGTTCAACTAGGAACTGTTAGCACTGGCGTGGAGGGCTCTGATTTATCTCATCCTTCCGGGTAGTTTCCATCCGGTTTGTTAACCGCTATCTCGCTCTGTGTCGATGGCCCAAGTCCAGTGGCGCGAAAATGCAGGTTGTTCACTGTCGTCCAGGCCAATCCCATCTTCTATTGCTCGCCAGCACGTTGCCATCCGCTGTTGCTTAGCCGTTTAAATCATGCACTGTCCCTCCCGCCCGAGCAATTGTGGTTAGCTCAAAGCAGTGGCGCCATATTGACCTCTTGTCTACTGGTCCTGCTTTCGTTCCTTTGGCGCGAATACACGTCTACTAGCATATTTTTCCGTTTATTACTCTACAGCAGTAATCTCAGCTCTCTGCTATGCTTATATAGTCGCAGTGCGGCGGTCCATAACAATGGTGCTATGCTTGTGATAATGATGATGATATCCAGTTCACTATTAAGAGATGACGTGGCCTCATACGACTCGAAGCTACCTGAGCCACTACGTGTTTAGCTCTGTCTCTTCTGACTGAAATGTGTACCGAGGGGGTTTCATAAAGTTGTATAGATGGGACTCAGCGTATTCTCCCGAAGAAACTAATAATACTGACCAAGGTAGTTTAGTAGATTAGCCTACTGTTGAGTGTAACAACTGCTGCTTTTTTTACTGCCTTTTGTAGTAGTTCCAAAATGAGGTGAAGCGGCATATTTTGATAAATGCGGCGTTAGTAAAAGGCAGAGAAGCGTCCGAAAAACAGTCTGTAGTGCGGGACGGGACAACACCAACTGAATATATCAGCAGGGTAATTTATTCAAGGTAACTGTAAGCACGGTTCGTAGGGTGCGAAGCAATTCACTGACTACGAACGTACATAGCATACCATCATTGATGGGTATGACTTTTGTGAAATTAGCCACTATCTGTTCAGTTACAACATGTTATCTGACAGCGTCACGTGAACACAGATAAACAGCAGGTCTGTTCATACTCCGGTATCCACAATCACCGGTAAATAAATAAATAAAATTTTAGTCCTCAGAATTTCAAGACAAACCCCTGTAGGCCTGGTCAGATAGAAGCCTAAGGAAAGGTGAGTTGGTGGCATCGGAACTGCAGATGGTAAGCAGGTTGATGTTATGAAATGCCAACCCTGCATTCAATCCTTCGTTTATGTCAACAGCGAGTGACTTAGGCACGAATGTTCGTTAAATGGAAATCGCTCTTACCAGCAGTGGCTACTTATCCTGCGTCGATGAGTACACGTCACTGGGACACAATACCGATGAACTGTTGATGGCAGCAGCGTCTCCACTAATAGTGTCCTGTCGAAATAGTGAATATTCGCATCTGAAAAGCGGTACTTGTTATTGACCAGGTCAGCCAGCATCAGCGTGGGCATATGTTGGCGGCGCCCGTGTCCGGATTTTCCTGTCACTGCGACTGCGTACACCCTCACCATATATACGGTATAGGCCTGAAGAAATTAGAATGGAAAGTATGTAGACGGGAACCACAAATGATTCGGAGCCGGCCCACAATCGTTTAACATGCACACCATTCATTCTTCTGAACAAGGGAATCATGTGTACCAAATGGACACAATGTGGTCGCTGGGCCGTAGCCCGTTCCAACTTGGACGGATCCATTCTTTGAGACAGTGTACCCGGTCTCCCCCATCAACAGCCTGCTGGTGCCAGTAATCGAGATGGAGGGTTTTCGACGGGCAGGTCCCTTGCTAACACTCGCACCAAGCGCAGACAGACCAAGAATATCAATCGGTAAAGTGTGTGTACATTTCGGTTCTCTTAACGATGTCCCTCTTAAATGAAAACGGAAATTAAGTGGTGTTCGCCGACGGTGGTAGTGGAGCAATGTGGATATATTTCAGATAATAACAGACACAACACCAGGGCTTTTGTACTTGTCTTCATTGCAATTGAAAACCCAAAAGTGAGACCAGGATGACTAACCACGCTTAGAATTACACAAAGCCTGTTGCGAAACCTGGTTATCCTGAATTGAGCAGCCACGCCTAATCTGTTTAAGCTATACAACGGTTGGTGGGCATGTGCCGCTTTTTAAAAAACGCTATGATTCTCTCACGCAAGTGATGATTTGGCCTAAAACCAGACACGCATATGATCGTTTTCTTCGGTGAAAGACTATCTCAAACAACGTTTCACGTGGAAGTAAAAACTATAAAATTGTTTAGCAAGTGCTATCCACTTTTAGGAACTACATACGTGCATAGTCCCCGCCATTAATCTAATCTAACCGCAGTACGAAACGGAATGTGCTAACCTAACAAAGGCTATAAAGTTTTTTTGGACTTTCCATCACATTCATCTGCTAACGCCCAACATGGAATACAAACTGCCTTCCCTTGTTGTGGCTGCACAGGTAGAGCAGCTAGCGTTAGATGTTAAGGATAGATGTGTTTTGGCCTCAAGCAACTAGTAATACTACTCGATGAAACCAAAACAAGGCCGTAAATTAACAGTATATTGCAACGGGGACATACCTAAACAATACCCGTTCATTATATAAACAACCGGGTCTTTACAGAGCACAACAATGTGCAAATCATCGTACATATCACTGTACAAGATCACAAACCACAAAGTTCGCGAGCGGAATACACGGCTCTTTTGTTGGGTGCCACTACACCACCTTATTGGTTCGCTGCTCAGTGCATAACTGGATACAACACGTTTCGTTCTTGGAGTAACTTCAAAGGGGTGGGTTAATATGTCTTGGTGCAATTGAAAGGAACGACAAGTGCGGATATGCCACCAGGGTGATTCCTAATTCAATATTGGCGTGTGTGTGTGTGACCCCTTGGGCAAGTGCGATTGAGCAACTGGAACAGCGGTAGTTAAGATGAAAGCGTACATGCATCGTGTAGGGAGATCAGCAGACGGCGCAGGTATCAGACGCGGTTATCCGGAGTAAGATCCATGTCATCCAACTGCATGGTAATTTTATCGGTTACATTGGGATGGTAGAGTTGTAAGGTCAGTCTAACCCAGCGTTTTTGATGAAGAAGTACATAGGTCGCTCTGTTCCCATCCTGGTTAGCGCATGTTTGCCATCTAATTTCGCTGCAGGCACTAGTCAGAACTTGCAGCTTGTTGACAATGGGATCTATATTGTCAGTCGGTATCGATGACTAACCCATTCTATGTTAGAGCCGTGTCAGTTTTCACACATATTAAAGACCATCTCATTTATCATACCATTCCTTTCGTAGCACGCAAAACACAAGTGGGATGAGAATGTGTTTTCAACGAGCCCACTTCCAGCTCCTTGGGGAGGCTATTATGACGACGATGATGAAATACAAAGACTGCAGAACCTTGGTCAAGCTTCGTTCTTAGTGGAGCAAGCAGGCGCAGGTGAGCGAATGGATACCGGTGTGGCAAGTATTGATACTTTTGTAGCTCACTAGGTGGATGGAATTGTTCCTTGTTCACCTAAATGAATGTTTTAGTTGTCGGCTTCGTTACAAGTACCAACTTCCGCAGAATGGTTCTCTGGGACATGGCGTATGGGTAGATGGACACCCCGTCGATTACATAAATTAACAGTTTGGAAAATCTAAACAAAGAGGTTGCTCAAAACGCTGCGCAAACATTATGTGTGTTATCGCTTCGGATGTCGGTACCGTAGTCGGTCACATGACTGCATGTCCGGAGATCTTATCCGATTTGGTATAATGGTGAAGTCAGCTGCGCTGTTGCAGTCCATCCAATATCCTTGAATGGTACTCCTTGTAGAGATGAACTTGGTGTAATTATTGATGACTGATTAATTACCAATCATTACAACGGTTTTTTAACCATTGATTATCTTTGGCATCACGGAAACGCGAAATAAGGGTTCACCGCGTCTCGGTGCTCGAAAAATAATTGCTAAAGTACAGAGATGAAGCACATAATAATTTCCATTATGAAAGTTTCTCAACAATTTGCTGTTTTCATGCTCCGGGCCAATCTAAATGGTTTGGTGGGAATCCATCTAATTATTTTACGCATGAGTCCAGACAGCAGTAAAAGAGGAATAGGACATTGCTATCAAATGAAATTCCATAGCAGCGAGTCGTGCAGTAGTCATTCTGAGCAGAACTGTAAGAATGAGTTCCAAACCAAATCTAGGCAGCTCTAAAGTTAACGATAATAACAAGAAGTATACGCATCAAGCTTTATCCGTACAAATAAGCACAAACATACCGTATAGGTAGCAAGAAGCCATTCGATAATTGTCCGCATCAAATGACATGAACGTGCCAGGTGCATCACTGAAATACACCTGCTTGGCAAAGCAGTAACAAGAGGTAACCAACTGATTCAAGAGTACACAACAAGTAACTTTTGCCCACACAAACAAATCAAGGCGGTAGTTGACTTTTGTGAAATCGACAAAGCAAACACGCAACTTCTAACTGATTCGTCATCAAGCTGAATGCGTCACATGTGTATACTTAGTAGCAATCGGGGAGAAATGACCCACTCAACAGACTGAGTAAATGAAGTTGAAACTAGTGTGTGACATGCACATGCGGTGTTCCTAAGCCACCATCAAGAATACAAATGTTGTAGCAAGCAACAGAAAAGCAGAATACAAATCAGCACGTAATTCAGGGGTAAACTAAGTTATCACACACAATACAGGGTGCATTCTTAATCATGTCCGTAGCTAGGAGCGGCTGCACTCAGATGCTGACGTACCCCGGTACGCTGCATCGCTAACTGTCCAATGGCGCAAATTGCTTTGCCGGCAGCGGTGACAGGCGCAGCATGTGTGTTTATGATCGCGGGGCACACCGAGCCGTTAGGCTGTGAGATGTGAACGTTAGCAAACACCCCAGCCGCAATGAATGCGTTATGCCTCGACCGCAGGGCAAGACCAACGAAAGGCAAGCCGTTCGGCTGTGATAACTGGATGTCAACCAGACACCGGTTGCATGTCATGCTTCGATCAATCGGTAGTCGGCCTTCATGCAGGTGGAAGGTCAGCAAAAGGGTTCCCTGCGGACTGGTTAGTGCATCGCTGTGCTAGCAATTGAGAAAAACAGCCTGGCCGTATGTGATGACCAGTCGATGGGCGCCGTATTGCTATCGCCACAAAAGCTGTTGTCGCCTCATGACTGGCTTCCAACAAATATGTACGTTTTTATTAGTCTGCTTTCGCTGCAAAAGGGAAGCATACTGTCGGGAGCACATTGTAAGAGTATAGTGTAGTATAGCAATTTGCGCCATTGGACAGTTAGCGATGCAGCGTACCGGAGTACGTCAGCATCTGAGTGCAGCCGCTCTTAGCTGCGGACATGATCAAGAAAACACCCTGTCTATGGATTTTAAACCGCTTTTCCCACAGAGCCGATGATAAGTGAGTTGCTTTGGTTCAGCTAGCTAATGAAACTTGAGTTCTGAGGAACATGTGATTGGTCGCCCGCAACATCTGCCCCCTTTTGATGAGTGACGTCAAGTGGACTGGTTTCGATCGATAGGCTTCGAGCGTCTACTGGTCCGGCGAGGCTGACTTTTTGGTATCGGCGATTAGGCCTGGTGTTCACACAAAGTTTGAGACTGGGTAGCTGGTCAATGGGCCGCATGCAACCGACGTGCGTTAGCATTTAGGCCTTTTTCCAAAGAATAGGTCCCTGAACCTAGTCTCTGGGCGATTCGCAACGGTTCTGTTAGCGCTGGGAGGCCTTTAGGCACAGCCCGTTGTTAACGCGAACGTATGCTCCAGGCTGCATAGAAGTTGACGATCTGGCGTAGGAATTTTGGTAATGTGCTATGCGATTTGAAACTTCGGCACGTCCCGCAGATGGCAGGTTATGTGCAGCATTTAGTTTGGTGCGTAAGGGCCTTCCTAACATCAGCACCACTGGTATTCTTCCGGTAGCCCTGTGATCACAAGTTCTGTAAGAAAATACAGCAGTTAAGACAGCATCTTCCCAATCCGACCCTCCTAATTGGATGGCCTGTATGGCTTCCTTGAGGGATCGGTTTAGCCGCTCGACCATGCCATTGGCCGCAGAATTATAAGGTGCAGTTCTGGAATGTTTTATGTTATGGCACTGGAGGAAAACTGTGAAGTCGTGACTACAAAATTGTGGTCCATTGTCCGTGACTATTTCTTCCGGTAGTCCGAAACGACTGAACAGGTATTTAAGCCAGCGTAACACAACTGAGCTGGTCACTTGGTCCCACATGTCGTCTTCAGGTCATTTACTGCAAAAGCACCCAGAAACAAGTAGGGTTCACTTGTTGGTAGGAATGGTGGCAAAAGGAGCCGTAATACAAATGGCAATCTTATCCCACGATTTCCCCAGGTAAGTAATTGGCTTTGTTGGGTCTTCGACTGGCAGAGAAGTATTGTCCGCTAGACTGCGAGCATTACAGTTCATCATAAATGTCTCGATACTGTATGCCATTTGTGGCCAGCAAACGTAATGTTTCGCGCGGTTTTTTGTCCGAACAATACCAGGGTGACCCTCATGTGCCCAAGTAGTTATTTTGTTGACCAACTGAGGTGGAGCTATAAACACTGAACCACGCATCAGACAACCATCTACCACTGACAGTTCATCTCGAGTTGCGTAACATGGAATGAACTCACCGGGGACTTTGTTGTTCTTAGGCTATCCCTGTTGCACATACTCGCTGAGTTGATGTAGTAACGGGTCGTTGGCATTTTCCGAGGATTATTCATCGATAGTTAATGCTGTTAGGTAGGAGCCAAGGCTGAAGACTAATACAGCCTCTCTGAGTCTCTCTTTGTCATCCTCCAGCCCTACGGGTAAGCAAAATAATCCAGCAACAACTTGGTTTTGCAAACCCGGCCGGTAAACAACTTGAAAATTTTAATTTGCCAGTCTATCATAACAAGGTTCGGCCCGCATCGGACGTGATCCTTTAGATCCATTGCTGAGGTAGACTGTAATGGCAGAGTGAACAGTTCGTAGAGTGAAACGACGGCCGAATCGGAAAAGATACCACTTTTCATAAGCACACACGCAAGCAAGAGCTTCTTTCTCCCCAGCTGAATAATGGCGCTCAGAATCTGAGAGTTTCCGGAATGCGTAAGTAACAAATATATCCTCTCTGTGTTGTAGCTGTGACAGAACAGCCCCGAGACCAAGATCAGACGCATCAGCCGACACAAAAGTTCCTCACGATTCATCAAAAATAGCAACTAAGGGAGCAGATACAACTCTCCTTTTCAGTTCATCGAAAGCACTTTGCTGGTAGCTTCCCCAAGTGAACGACGCTACTATTTTGTCAGTTGTCGTGATGGATCTGCTAGGGTAGCAACATTTTAGAAATAATCCAGCTTGTAGGAACACATTCGCAAAAAAGACTTCAGTTCTGCCACTTTCTTGCATGTTGGCGCTTCGTTGATGGTCCGGATGTTTTCGTTTCTTGGGCGAATGCCGACACTCGATATGGTGTAACCCAGCAAAAGAGTTTCGGGGCATTGAATTGACATTGTTTTGCGTTCAGTCGTAAACCAAGATCACTGAGACTCCGAAGAACTTTGTGTAACCTTTCATCATACGCTACTTGTGTGCGGCCGAAAATACAGATATCATCCATGTATGCAACCTGCCTCTCAATACCTACCAACGCGTGAGTCATGAACTTATGCGAGGCAGCGGGCGCAGAACTCAAACCCATGGGCATCACTTTGTTCTGAAATAAGCCATCGGAAACAAGGAAGGCAGTAAGATGCTTCGAATCGTTGGCCAATGCCATGTCGAGGAACGTAGTTTTCCAATCTAGCCTGGAAAATACGGTTGCACCAGCTAAACGTACAATGCGTTCTTCGTTGGATGGTAACACGAATCACTACAAGGATCTGCTTAGTTAGCCCCTTCAAATCGTTGCATATCCTGACAGCGCCATCCTTTTTCAGGAGGCTTACCATTGGATGCACCCACTCAGTGCAGTCGATGGGTTCAATCAAATCTTTTGCTAGCATCTCTTGCAAGACCGCTGAGACAGCTTGACGTTTTGCTAGCGGAAGCAGCCGAGGTTGACCAATGGCAATGGGTTTTGCATTCTGCTACAACTAAATGCAGTGCACACCACATGAAATACGTCCGATGGATTGCTGAAAAAGCGTAGGATAACGTTCCATCCAGTATGTCACGTTCACGGAAGAGACGATCATGCGGTCGAAAGATGGTACTACTTGCAAAGCCACCATTACGTCTCTTCCAAGTAAGGGTTGTCTGTTGTCTGAAGCAATGTAAACTGCAACATCCGCAGAGACCGAATGCGGCCGTAAAGGCCCGATAATGAATCCAAATATATTTACGTTGTGTCCACTGTAACTCAGAAATGATTGCGAAGTAGACTGGAAAGTATGCTGAGATAAGTAGCGTTTTTAAAATCGGAAAGATACGATGGCAACTGGAGAAGCAGCATCTAGTTCCATTTTAAGTGAAACAGCGCCTTTGATGGTAAGGAATGACAGTACGAAAATCAGCGGAGGGAAACTTTGGTTCATTAACAGATATTGTTATTGAAGTGCTATAATTAGTTTTGATGAAATAAATGTTCTCCTGAGATGGATCGTCAACATGGCCTTCAGGTGTAGCGTTGTTGTTGATAAGTGCAATGGTTTGCGACCGACAACATCGAGCCTAGTGCCCAATTTTGTCACAGTTTTTGTACTTAAAACTGCGTGCGGAACAATTGGGAAAGTTAGCTTTATAAGCAACACTTCCGCAACCATAGCAAGATGGCTTGTTCGCTGGTAAATGTCGGCAAGATTGCACCTTTGCCATCTCAACTGAGTTAGTCGAACAGAACTGTTTCGATTGCGGTGCGATTTCAGTTTTCGTTCTGGCTAACTCTCAAGTCCCATCCCACGTTAATGTGCACGCCTCTTCATGCAATTGCGCCTCACGTATACGGTTGTCAGTGATTCCACAAAATTAGTTGCTGAGTCAACACAGCCTTCGATCTTTTCTGTGAAATGGACGAATAACCACTGCGCGACTTAACCGGGCAATGTAATCGTTCTAAGATTCGCCTGTTTCCTGGTGCATACGGTAAAAAACGTATATTGCAGTAAACACATCCGTTTGGTAACGTCATGTACGATCGAGAGTGCCGAAAGCTTCTTTAAGGGATTTATATTCTTGAAGGCCCAAATCCTCAACTGCTGCTGCTTCTCATCTCCGAGTAAATGTCGGAGCAGCTTTAAACTGTTTTCCTCACTAAGAGCAGAATGAAAATCGCTGATTAAATCCAGGTAGTTTTGTAAGGATTTTTTCCAACGGAGCCAGGTTGGTCTGCTACCACAAGCCGTACCTATCTCATTTCGGAGCACGCGTTGGTGTGTGTTACGCTTCGGTGGCTCGCAGCAGCGTCGCCGGAAACGGCTTGACGGAGCTATGCCCACTGCCCTGAAAGCTCTTCGCGCACTTCAGGGTGCCTTGGCCGCGAGGCTGAAGACAGCGTCATACACGGACATTGAAACATACTGGACACACATCCGTGACGCCATGTACAACTGCAACCCTAGTATGTGGCTTCAATAGTATTCCTGTCCACCACTGGATCTCTGCACGATCGCTCCAACTTCTCGAAGCCCGTCGAGCAATTCCTGCTAACATTAAATGCCATTCATTACGCAAGAGTACTAACGCTGAGCCAAAACAACTCCTTTGAGAAGATCGCGAGGTCTGGTGAACGCAGTGGCTCATTGAGATGGAACAAGCGGCCAGCTCGGTGAATATCCGTAAGCTTTTCATCCTGATCCAATCTACTGATGGCAAAAGGCCAACTGTAATCGACGTTTTATGCGAAACCAATGGTGAGCCAATCCACTATCAACAAAGCATTGGGCAGAGAATTTTGAGCAGCAGTTTAATTGGCCAGCAGCACCAATGAGTTCCCATTCTAGAGTTCAGAGTGCTCACTGGTGTGTAGACGCTTCACCACCATCCTAGGCTGAGGTTGCCCATGAGCTTAGCCTCTTAAAGCGCTACAAAGTCCCTGGCTCAGATGAACTCCTTCTCGCTCCTTTTAAAGATACAGGCCAATCACTTCTTCAGGAGCTACCTTCTCTTCTCCGAGAGAGCTGGGTCATTAAAGTTATCCCATCTGATTGGAGGCTAGCGTATATCGCGTCCACCTTTAAAAAGGTTACCCCAACTGATTGCGCCAACCACAGAGGGATTAGTCTCATCTGTGTTGCTTCCAGGTTGCTCACAGCTCTGCGTTTAAAATGGCTCAGCCTGATACACGAACAGAGCATACTGCGTTCCGCTCAGGTCGGAGTTGCATCGAGCACGTATGTACACTCCGCCAAATGCTCGGGCATCGTCAAACATTTGGCCAGTCAACAATCGTTGTCTTCTTAGACCTACGAGCCGCGTTTGACTTAGTCGACAGAGCTGCTCTCTGGAGTTGTCTAATGAGAAGTGGCATGCGCGTGAAGTATGTCACCTTAGTTCAAGCCATCTACTCTCAAGCGTCGTACTGAATGCTGCTGTACGGCGGAATTTCACCCCCCTTTATATCACCAGTGGTGTGAGACATGGTTACCCAACATTCCCATTCTTGTTCAATTTCGCCACGGACGAAATTCTAGAGAGTGTTCTGGAGAACCGTGAGCCCAGCGGCGTCCAGCTACTTCCGGATAATCGACTTCGGGATTTAGGGTGTGCAAACGACATCACCGTAATCTGCGCTTCCTCACAGGCCGCCAAAAATGTCTTGTGTAGGTTGGAGATGTCTTTCATTCAGTTTGGAATGACCTTCGCACCATAGAAGTGCAAGGTCTTCCAGCGGAACTGGTTACGCGCTGCTCCTACTCACCCTTCTAGGCCATTCATTGGAAGTGGTGGACAAGTTCGTTTACCTCGGATGCTGCGTCAGCGATAATGGTTAAATGGATGAGGTCTCTTTGCGCTTCTCCAAGGCTCGGGTTGCTTTTGCGAATCTCCGCCATCTCTGTCGTCGAGGCGATCTGAGTATCTCTGAAGGGCCGAGTTTACGATGCCACGGTCAGACCGGTTCTTTTCTACGGCTGCGGGACATAGTCTGTTCGCGCGAAGGATGTTGAGTGGCTGTCTGTTTTTGACCACCGCTGTCTTCGGAGCATTGTTGGTGTACGATGGCAACGTCATACTAGCAATCAGGATGTTCGATGGAGGACTTTCAGATCAGACAGGGTTTGCCGGCTACTGAGAGGCATAATTTCTCAGCGCATATTTCAGTGGTTTTGGCATGTTCTTCGCATGCCTAGTCATCGCTTACCTCGCCGTGCCCGCTTCGCGTACGCAGAAGTCGCAATCACATCACAATGGAGATGGAGGCTGGACGGAAAGGTTCATCTTTGTGCTCGCGACGCCAAAATGTATCAAGAAGACAACAGAAAAGCAGGACGCATATCCGTAAGCAATTCGGAGGTACACAAAGAGATAACACACAGCATATCAATTTTAGACGTCCGTTTTCACACAACCAATGAGAAATGAGCTGCTCTGTTCCAGCTAGCCAATGTAACATGAGTTACACGGGACATGTGATGGGTTGGCCACAACAACCAAGCTAGTAAGTTGTGATCATGGTTGGACTAGCGTCCTCACAAACGGATTATGCGAGCAATTAGAGTTAAGTAAGACGATTTGTAGGAGATTCTGTGGACGCAAGGAAGATAAATGCTTAGCTTGTGGATAGGCTCATTTGCCATGAACCATAAAAACAAGTTCAGAGATAATGCCGGATGGTGAACCTAAAGCTGGTGTTTGATGGAGGTCGATCTTGCGAGTTTGGTGGGGTTTACCTCCCACATAAAAGAAAATACAAAACAAATAAAGCATTAAGTGTCTCAGTCGTTAACTGTGCTAACTGGAGTGTGGTAGCGATGCTGAATTAATTTGTTACATTAAAGAGGTATTGAGGTTTATGGCCAAATTTATCTCATATTGTTGGATTCACAGGTGTCGGGCGATCAGAAATGCTTCGAATCTGGTTGAGTATACGCAAGTTATCCTTGAAACTGACTGGTATCGCCAAGCTTCGCTTTTGGGGGAAGATTCACGGCACTACTGCATCATACTACATCGCAGAAGGGGAATTTGGAGCTGGAGTGGAGCCGGACAAAAATGTTCCTGCACCCTTCGATGAGTGGCGACCATACGTCCCTCGAGATGGTAAGGTGCAAACGCTCGCTAAGGTTGCAAAATAAAGTTGGTCGATTTCATTCTGGGTGTTATTTCTGAAAAGGAATGAGCTAATTCAGATACCCGTATAACCATATTGTGACGCTGTCAGGTGTATAACCATTCACCATGCCCTCATGTATATATATATATAAAGCACCAGACCCCTAGTGGACGCACGAAGCATTGTTTGTGCACCACAGCCGTATTCCTAAACTTGCAATCATGATAGCTGTAAAATAACTTCTCTCCGGTGAAATCTTAGGCACTTGAGTGGACGAGCGTGCTTACTTGCATACTTCGTCATTGCTTCATACAGATGAGGTGCCATCGAAGTGCGTTTATATAAAAGCGGGAAGGGAAGGTTAAAACCACTCAGATCGTTCGTAAACAGAGTATATGGAGTTGTACTGTATTGTGACCACAAGACAAGTCTATAAAAAATCGATTTGCATTGTAAAACCTTTTAAACGTTTGAATTCTTAGTCGGCCTAAGTATTTTCCAGAATATTGAGTACGAGGTTGGGTGCTGCTCTTGTTTTCAAGTGCTGTCGACTGATAAATTCCTCAGATATTTAACTTACTATATGTTTTCTCATCATCTGCTGACATGACAGACCGACTGGAAAGAGATAAATTGGTTTTCAAACAGATTAGTCCACAAAGATTTGCCATTTATCTGTGACCCAAGAAGGTGAAAGCGGTTTTATCTAACCGCGATTGCCATGACCTGGGAATCGGCCGAGCTCATATCTTCTGCTGTTTTACCTACCCGAAACAATTCAAAAATAACCTTCAGGTGCCTTAACAGATAAATGCTTCTTATCGCTCAGTTATTTTCTCTGATCTTAGATAATTTCCGTTCCCCCTGAATGGAATGTAGTAGTTAAAGGTGGGACGATCGTGCAAGCTGCTCTCCTCGCCTTCCGCTTAATGAAATTCATCGGGCGCGATTCCTGCATGCTCCTAAACTATCTCTTTGTAAATAAGTCTCGGGTCAGTGAGGATAACCAGCTTTTTATGTACGCCAACGTCGTTCGGTATGTTACTTTACTTGAGCTGTTGAAAAGGGCAAATTAATGCGGTATATATATTGGTCTGATCTTCGTATCTCCAAAGGGGACAACGTCGTAGCAAGGCTAGACAGGTGCTATACCAGTAGTCGTTTGGTTACAGAACAATCACTGAAGGTGATGAGCTTATTCACTTGCTCACGCAGCCCAACCCTTTATGTTTGTGCATTCTCGAAATTATCATCCAGTTGCTTATCCGAACTGAGTGGATTTCGGGAATACAATAATCTACAGAGACCATAGGCTCTACGGGCAGTGTTGCCCATATGTCCTGAAGCTATCAGATGGTGCCTGTGAACCAGTGTTCAAATCTGCGGAGGCCACTAGTGATTGACATGAATGTGCACCATGCTGTGTTTGACATCAAACACCTCCATGCTTTGATGCCAGTGACGCTGTCTAGGTGAAAAGCTTTTCACTTACCTGAACGAATTGCAACGGTTCTATTGAGTGACATATCCGAAGAGTAAAAAGTGATTGATGGAAAGGCTCAGTAGGGTTTATACTTGTCGCTGTTCTGGATAAGGGACTTTGGCCTAATTAAATCTGTGGCTAAGCGCCATTTCCATCAGAATGCTACTGAGAAATCGGTGGTGCTCTTCAAGTCAAACTACTGTTGCTTGATGCGAGGCTTTCCACAGGATGATGCAGAGGCAAAACTGGTTATTTTAGTTGGTCTAGTCATGGCCGTGTTACCGTTACCCCTATTAATAAAAATGGCGTCAGCAGTACCCCGGTAAGCAGGACTGACATTTCGCTACCGCGCAACAAGCAACAGTCGCGCGTGGGTTAAGAATACTGTGATGGCCACCCGGTCCCCCTACGCGGGCTAGAACCCGGGACCTCAGATTACAAGCCAGGTTTGTCATCCTTAATAC